ACCCTGAACTAATCTTCACCAGCAACAGAAACTATTTGTGTTAATAATGAGGAATGAAAAGAAAATACCAACAAACAAACAAACAAACAAAAACAACCCCAAAGAGCATAAAATGGATTTACTTCAACCATCAAGTTATTTTTAAGATTATCAGCTTAAAACTGAAATGCAGCCCACAATGTGACAAACACTACAACACAAACATGAAATATATTGCATTTTAATGTTCAGTAGCATCCCTGTCAATGCAGATTTTGATTGAGAAGGTGTGGGAAGGGCCCAATATTCTGCATTTCTAGAATCACCCTGGTATGATGATGCTACTGCCAATCCAAGAGCTAACTGTGGAATAGCAAGAGTCTATAATATACTAAGCACTGTACTAGACGTGCAGGTTTACATTTAACCTTTTTCACCACCCTATGATAGAGAATGTATTATTCCCACCTATCACAAAAGGAAACAGAGAGATTTTATATAACTAAGAAGTGACAACCAAAGCATGAACCTAGTCCCTTCGAGCCAAATCCCAGACTTTGTCTACAATAATTCATTGCCTCCATTTCTCAAGAAATGAATCTGTCATTATCCATAGCTAATAATACTACTTACTAGCAACCTGCAAATCCATGACAAATTTATTCAAATCAACAAGAGAATAGTTTTAAAAATCTAGGTGCTTAGAGCCCGTTCCAGTATATTTCTTTCTCTACGAATGTGGTGGGAATTGAGAATTCTAAATATTTTCACCATCTCTATAGGTGACCCTGAGAGTTACTAAAGTTACTCATTTGTTATGTTGTCTGAATGGAAAGCCTGCTGCAATAAATACCATCTGCATCCCATTTGTTATTGAAAACTATACATATGGGGTGGGGTTCATCAAGCATGAGGAGTTAAGGGAAAAGATTTCATCTTTTAAAAGAGTCAGACATTTATTTGGCATTTTCTATGGGTTTAAACCACACAAAATGAAATCTTTCAACTATCCAGTGCCCTGAGCTACAGTCCTTTTGTGATTCTTCTTTGTAATTACAGGATGGGATCTGATCCTGATCTGACAGATGTTAGCAGCCCTGCATCTTCACACAGAAAACCATTCCATTCTGCAGCCTCCCTAGGAGGTGGGGGCTTTGGAGTAAACCCAGCTGTGGAGCGGCTCTTTCTTTTCCTCTCTGACTCTGTTTCCAATGCACTCTTGGAGCTCCTACGGAAGACCATGATCATGCTTGAAGTAGGACAAGCCCCACTCTCCATTTCCAGTCTTACGGGCAAATTTTTAAGTAGAACTAACAAAGTGAAAGGACTTTTACACTTGGCCAATTATGCGAGATGGAGCAATAAAATTTATTAAGAACTCTCAACAATATAAAAGTAGTCTAATAGAGGTGAGCTTTGGACCATTGATTTTCTCTCAAGCAGAAAGTTCTACCAGCCTGAGAACAACTCCACACAGGTGGCCAGAGGCTGTTCCCCTATCTGCCCACTACTTTAGGCAGCTGTTGATTTAGTGATTAACAGAGAAAACAGATTCAGCACCAGTGTATCATGCCACCAGTGACAAAGTGGAACTAGTTACTCAAGACCTGTTGGGAATGATACATGAGAGTCACAGTTCTACCCTTTTTATCAATAACAGAAAGAACCGGTAACTTCTATATAAGTTTTCTTCTTATGTCTCAGAAGTCGACTTGAAGATCCAACTTTATCAGACAGAAGTTCAACCTACTTAATTTCAACAATTCCTTATTCAAAATATATTAAAGAGGAATGCTCTCAAGTTCATAAAAATCTACTTTTTAGAATAATCACAAAACTATGGGATATAATTGTTTTAGCCAGGAAAGTCTAGCTGCTAGAAGTAAAGAAATGACACCTACTCATTCAATTATACGATTCATTAACCAGGACACACACAGAGAGAAATGTATATTTTTAATACAGTATAGGTAAAATTTTAAATGACGTCTAATTCCAAAGAGGACTCCAAATTTATTTTGAAGAGCACAACCTAGTAAAAAACCAGTATACAATGCATTACTTCCCAATGAGAAGATGCATAATTTGAGCATACAACCTCAAACTAAGTGCAAGGTTATCAATGAAAACATTCTGTTATTATGACAATTAAAAGCTCTTGTTAATAGAAACACTTCTTCTATGCCTATTTTTTTTTTTTTTTTGTACCGGGGATCGAACTTGGGTCCTTGTCCTTGTGCAGCAGGCAGCTAAACCACTGAGCTAAATCCCTGGCCCTTCAATGCCTATTTTATAGCACTGTATTAGCATCCCCACTGATGGGATAATATACGTGATACCCACAACTGAAAGAATAAGAGGTTTACGTGATACCCACAACTGAAAGAATAAGAGGTTTAATTTACCTGATAGTTTCAGAAGATTCAGTCCTCAGTCTGCTGGATTCAAGGCAGAAACATCGTGGTGGAAGGGCATGGCAGAGCACAGTTGGCTACTTCATTACGGCCAGGAAGCAGAGTATGGGACCAGCACCACAGAGGAAGAGTCAGGGACCAGCTGCAGTCCTCCAGGTCACACTCCCATGACCCACCCAGAAGAATACAGTACTACATCCTGGGAAATCCTCAAGCCAGTCAAGTTGACAATCCACCTTTACTACTCAATCCAACTTTGCTACTCAAAGTATTGTCCCTGAACTTTTGGCAGCAGCACTTGAGAGCTTAGAAATATAAACTCTCAGTTCTCACTCCCGACCCACCAAGTCAGAGTCTGGATTTTAATAAGATCTTTAGGTGACTCATAGATCCTTTAAAGTTTGAGAAACAATTGTGTAGCCACTATGAAGCTAGGCACTTTATATTATATATTATATGTTTTGAAGTTTAATTCCCTATAACAACTCTATGAGATAGAGATCACTTTCATCATTACCATTTTATGGCAGAAGAAACAAGACTCAGTAATAACTTTCTAAAGGTCACATAAACAGGAAAGAACAGATTCAAACACAGTCCCTCAGATAGAGAAGTTTAATTTGTTTCCTCCTGCTCTCTTTAAGGCACTATTGTCCAGAGCCCAGAGACAGGTTTCCAACCGTACACAAAGTTAGTGCACTTGGCTCATGAAAAGTTTCATAGTTTTCAGCTCACTTTCAAAGGAACTTATGTCCCCGCCAAAGTTTAACAGTCATTGCTAGAAAGCCTTGTTGTAAATATGTACAAGTGCAAACAACTGAAAAGCAAAGAGGGAACACAATCCTCAAAAAATGCTTAACATTAATATAATTTGTACAATTTTAAAAAGACAACTACAAATAAAGAAGTCACATTTTATGGAGTATTACTCCATCATAAAGAAGAAATCCGAGTCATTTGTAGGAAAACAGATGGAATTTTTGACCATAACACTAAGTGAAATAAATCAGACACAGAAGCTTAAGTGTCACATGACTTCTGTAATACAAGACCCAAAATACCTATCCCCTCAAGATGAATGTAATTATTATGTGTCAGACATATGTTAATAAAAAATTTGAAAAAAATCAAACTTTAGGCAGCAGTTTAAATTTATATACTTTCTTTTAAAAATCTGTGGCCATGTAATTTTTCTCTCTTGCTGATCTCTTAGGATTCCTAAGAGTGTAAATAAAAGAAAAATTATAAATTAATGATACTTGCTAAATGTGTATGTCTAACTGAAATTGAGCTCCTCACTATAGATGTTAAAATGTGGTGTTCAAGAGCATAGACATTAGAATCCAATCTAATTCTGGGTTTGAATTCTAGGGCTACCTCTTACTGCATATGTGATTTTGAGAAAGTTATGTGGTTGTCTAAGCTATCATTTCCCAATATGAAGAACTGAAGCAATCTTTATGCTTGTTGTTTTATTAATATATGCACTGAACCTAGTGAAGCACCTATTAATGTAGCAAGCACTCCATGTAATCAATTGTTATTAAAATTATTACCGCTTATTAAGGATTACACATTTAAGAGATTCACTGGAGTTTTTTCAGAGTTCAAGACATCTACTCATCAATTTTGTAATTTTTGTAAATAAAAGCAAGGGCATTTAAAGAATGAGATGTTGGCCCAAAAGCAAAGGTGCAAAGGGGTAACACTCAAACTCCTATTTACATTTTTAGCATGAATTAATGGTTCTCATAGTATGGACTTCAGACCTGCAGAATCACCTTCAGCAGAAGCACATTACAAAAGCCAGTTCTCAGGCTCTTCCCCAAACCTACTAAGTGAGAAATATTGTGGACAGGACCAGAGGTCCATGTTATTTTCTAAATCTTCCAGCTGATTGTGATGCACCCTAAAATTTGAGATCCACTGGTATAAATGAAAAGACATTTGGGGCAAGGGCCATCTCTGAAAATAGAGACTTCCAACCTGGTCTCTAGAGGCCCTGAGGTTGTGATTGAATCTCTTTTGATCTGAGTCATCCTAATAAGACTCACCCAGCTGGAAAGGCAGTGCGGGCTGAGGAGGCAGAGGAAATGCACATTTACATAAATACACAGTTCTAAACCTCCAAAGTTAGGGTGTAATTCCCCTAGAAACTCCCCTCATCTGACTAAAGGAAATTAACTTAATCACTCAAATTGTGTAATTCTGTGAATATGTGCATCAAAATAACTTATCACGGCTTTCTCATAGATTTCAAGTCTCTGGTCCTAGAGCACGTTGGACATCTCTGGAGGTTAAAGCAGGCGGTGCTCACTAATAAGCAATGTGAGGGAGCGTATAAAGCACAGAGGTGAAAGTGCTGACTCCGAAGTTCAGCTGCCTGTTTTCCTACCCCTCTTCACAGGTGCAAGCTAAGCTCTGAGACTGCCAGCCACTAATGAACACACTGCCTCCGCTCCCATTATCTAGCCACACAGGGCCCGTCTGGCACAGGGTTGTGAAGATGAAAGGAATTGAAACAGGTAGAACAGTGCCTGACACCTACTACGTGCTCAATAAATACTCATTTTAAAAGACAGCACATGAAATAGAACCATGAAATGCTGGTTTCTTCCATTTTTATTAGTCTTCTGAGAACAAATCTATTTCCTTCAACAAGAGGCTTACACAAATGCCTTCTGTTTTGACATTCTGCGTGACACCTACAATAAGATCACAATCATCATGTGGTTATTGTTGCTCAATTATTCCATGTACTTTTGCCAGGTTTTTCCAAGCAGATTGCTGAGAACCATGAGGACAAGGACCTCTCCTACGTGTCCTGGCATCTCCCACTGTTCCCCTCTTATGGGCGCTTAGCACATAATTATCTGTATGTTGTACAATAGGAAGAATAAAAATCTGACTTATAAAACACAACTTTCAGACTTCATTTTTTTAAAAAAGACAACCACAAAACTGGAAATGTATTCATGTGGCTTAAATATCACTGAATTTATTCTAAATATATTATAAAAATGTATTATCCCTTAAGTAATTTTTGTAATATCAACCATGACAACTAAACTCAGTAGTTACATGGAGGTAGTCAAATCACCTTAAAACTCTGTCAACAATGTCCCCATCAATAACTCATAATCCCTTTATGGCAAGCAATATAAAGAGCCATGAAGGTTATAGCATCCAGCCCTTCTAAAACTCCTTTATAATATCTTACTGATGCTCCAACAAAGATAAAAAGAAAGTTATTGCCTCAAATAAAACTTCAACTTCAATTTATTGCCACATTTCCAGGCATTCCATATCAAACTTAAGTATAAATAGCAGGATTCTCATACTGAAAGTCCAGACTAATTCATAATTTATCCGTCCACATTTCTCTTCTGTCCTGGAATTCTCTAGCCTGAAAGAAATATCATTCTGTTTTATAATTTTGGTTTAAAAACAGTCGCTGCAGATCCACTGCAAATGGGACATTGTTCCCATGGCTGGTCTGTGATGAGGAGATAGAGCAGTCCTATTACCATCTCCAGAATACAATGGACTCCTCTTCCTGTCTCACTTTGCTAACAACACAGCTCTGAGTTTCTATAGAACCTGTCACCAGGGAACTGTCCAACATACTTTGGCAAAGGAATGATTTCACCCTGGAAGGAAAGAGGATAGAAGGATAGTAAAAACAACAATCTTTGCTTGGATTCTAGCCATCTAATTAAATTCAGGAAAGTATTGATTCTGTCTACTTAGATTAACTTTAATTTTATATATAATCAAATTAAAGATTCAAATTAACCAATGTAGATCCCTGAAATCCCCCTAAAGAAGTATCAAATGGCTTTTAGTAAAATTTCCCAAGTGAATGTGATTGCAGTTCAACTTGACTTGCTGTTTACTTTCTATTCTAACATAAAATATTTAGGACAAAAAGAAAAGTTGAGCAATGCATGAAATATAGAGGCCACACAGTATAGCAAAGAAAGCAAAATCATTCTCATTTTCATTAAGGTTATGTTCTTATTCCAGTGGTTTATAAAATATTCAAGAGCAACATTTTAAATTAAATTGTTGGCATGTGTAATAAGTTTTCACCTAACACATCATACATTATAAAGGCATTTGCATATATTAATATCCAGATATTCGAAAGTTCACTCATGGTGACAAGGATATAAAATCTTGAATCCTGGGCTTGAATAACAGATATCTAGCTAGTGTGTTCCATATCTTCCACATTTTTACTAAGTGCTGAGCAAGAGAAAATGAACTAAGTATTTGGATCTAAGCCTTAATAATTCTCAGTATCAGGTCGTAAATCTACTGACAGGAAAATATTGAATTCTAAAATCACTTCTCAAAGAATGTGCAGCCCTATCCTATCATTGTTCAGATTATTTGCTACATAGCACCAATTTTGTTATCTCTGAGTCAGTGTGGATGTGACTGAGTCATGAAACAGAATGCACTATCCACGCATATTTACCAACTTTCTACCTGACTGCCTTATTAATCTGTTTTGTTTTTTCATATAATTATCACTCAGTAATACTGAATATTATTTTCCTGAAAACAGCTAAAACGCACTTAAAATGAGTGACAGAAAACTCAAATTGTAAAGAAACACTATCTTTGTAAAACTAAACTAACAATTTCCAGAAGTATCCCAAAGAATAAGACAAATTGCATATTTAAGAGAGGACATGCCTTGTATCTAACATTCTAAATCTTTACGAATTTTAGGGAAAAATCTGAAAAGTTTTTAAAGTAGACTTTTTGGAGAACACAACACATTTTCTTGATTTAGAAGTAAACACTCAAAGTTCCCAATCAACCCATTAAACTCTTAGCAAATTACATTTTTTGAACCCTTTAAAAGAGACCACTCTAATCCTACAGAAGAAGACGGTATAGGGCAAGATATAAAGATTTCTTACCATGATGACTGCTCAGAAGCTAAAAATATCCACCTGAGAAAATTGAGATCAAACAGCTTCCTGACACACACGACCTAATTCAACAATCTGATCTCTATCTGTCCCTGCTGAAGACTCAGAGGCTTAGGAAGTTTCTGCAATAAATAAGAAACCACACAGAAGACACAGAATCAACAAGCAATTTGCATTTAAAATATTCAGGTTGCAAAAGATTAGAAATGATCTAATGTCAACAGATGATGTGTTAAATTAGATTTAGAAAATACACAGAATGAAATAATACTATGTAGATGTGAAAAAGGGGGCAGGAGCCATTTCTGTATATGTAACAAATTAAGAAGTACTACAAGAGGAATAAAAGCAAGTCATATAACGTGTGTTATGTTAATATTTGCTACACACTCACAGACACATACAGCACAATATTCTGAAAGGTCACACAAGAAAATTAAACAGTGATTCTTTCTGGGGATAAGATAGAAATAACCAAGGAAAAAGGGGGAGAGATACAGATTTTTGACTCTATGACTCACCTATATGAATTTCTTAATTTGTGCATCTAATATATATTTTTAAATCATATTTAATAGCACTAGGGGAAGAATATGCCTGTAAACAAAATATCCAACTACGTGATGATCTTCCACATCAAGCAGTATGCCCCATGAGGAGCCAGAACAACAAGCTTGCAATGTCATTTTACCCTCTCCCCACTTAACACAAAGCTCAACATAAAAATGGCTTAGTTTTAGTTTGGGTATGCATCTTCTCCGCCTATTGTTGCTTGAATTAATTAGAGTAAATTTCCCACAGTAGCGCTAAGAAGATGGTTTGGTGGCAAAGGCCATTTCCCCCCCTTATTAATCTCCATCAGTCTCTTTACAAAAACTTACCAACGTAAGTATACATTCTGAGGGAAAGAGAGAGATAGAGGCAGTGCAAAGGCAGCTCCAAAGCCAGTCTCTATCCTTCATCTCTAGATCCTTCAATTTTAAAAGCCTGAGGTCATGATTACATTCCTCCAATTTGGTATAGCCTTTCTTCACAGTGTTATAATCTGAAAGTACTGACTAGGCAACACAGAAGATAGTTTCGCTCAATGAGGGCTTTGAAAGAAGACTGCCAAATTTGAACCCTAAATTCATTAGTCACTACATGAACTCTGAGAACTTACATAGCCTCCCTGTGCCTATTTCCTCATCCGTAAAATATGGATGATAGGGCAGGGGATGTAGCTCAGCAGTGCCCCGCCTGCCTGGCAAGCACAAGGTCCTGAGTTTGATCCTTGATACCAAAACAAAATTTTTTATTCTATGGATGATAATATTATCTGTCTGATAGCACAAATTTTTATTGTTAAGGTTGCAGTGCCTGACTATGAGTAATGAAATCAACTTGTTTATAAATCTCAATTGGTATTTTTAATGAAGTAAAACAATAAAATGAAGAAACAATTATTAGACATCATAAAGTTTATCTGTGACTTTTCCTACTCATATAAAAAATACATACGGGGAAAGTGTACTCAGTCTCAATATTTTGATGTTTTGATATTCAAAATATTAAAAAATATGTCGTAGATTCACTGTCTGGAAAAAGTTTATTTTTAAAATTCATTAAGTTTATTGGTACATTTTTTTCCCATTAAGTTTATTGGTACATTTTCGGTATAAAATACAGTTACATTCATCATTGGGATCTTGTACCATTACATGAGTATCTTGGTTCTT